GGCTAGCACGTGTGGTGGCCCGTGAGGGGCCGTACCGCCAGGGGACAGACCCCGAGCGCAGGAGCGGGAAGCTGAGGAGCAGCCTGCATGCGGCCACGCTGGCCTCTGGCACCCCCACCGGGACTCCTCGGGCACGACCTGCCCCGGGCACCTGGGCTGTGGGTGTCATGGCTGGGGTGCTCCCGGCCAGGGGTGCCGCTCAGCACCTACAGGGCCCAGGGGCAGGGAGACAGTCCCCTCGGGAGGCCAAGGGTCACAGGAGAGGTCCCGCCCACACAGCACAGGCCAGCACGTGACGGGGCGGGGCTGCCCGGCCCGAGTGTGGCTCCAGGCCCAGTCTCAGGCCCAGGCTGGGGGGCACCACACCTGGAGTTCCGGATCAGCTCCACCTGCCTCGGCGTCAGCGCGAAGATGCACGGGCTCTCCTGCAGCTTCTCGTTGTTCTGTGGGACTGAAGCAGGCGGGCGGGTCAGGGTGCCCTCGGGGTGTGGGCTCCCCGGCCTGCCCCTCCAGATCAGGGCAGGAAAAGGGAAGCCGGCTGGACAGACGTGAGGGGTGGAGGGCACCGCCCGGGGCCGCTCGCGGAGACCTGGGAGGCTGTGAGGCCTGGCTGGGGAGCGGAGCCCGGCCTCGTGTAGTACAGCCCCTGCTGCCCCCAGCCTGCCCTGCGCTGCGCCACGGCGGCAGACACGGTAAGAGGAGGAGTGACCTCCGGAGGCGCAGAACAAAGGCAGCAGAGGCTGCAGCTCGCTGGCGGAAGGTGGGGAGGGCGTGGAGGCCGGGGGACATGGGCCTCGCCCTCCACTGCTAGTAGGAGAGGTTCTGTGCGAGGACGGAAGCCACGTGGTTACAAGCCTGACCCTTCCCTCACCAGACCACCAGACAGCATCACAGAAACATTCTGAGCCGAGGAAGGAAGTGCATGTTCCACCGGGAACAGGATGCAGCCAAAGCAGCCTTCAGAGGGAAAGTCCTAGCCTCTCGCCTGGACCATGGAGAATGGAAAACCTAGGACCTCTTCCCCCAGGAAGATAAAGAAGGGGATGCCAAAGGCAGTCACTGGCGACACCGTCGTCCGAGAGATGAAATGGAGTCTGACGCAGAAAAGGCCACCATGCAACCAGCAGGCGCAAGCTCTTCAGTGAGCACCTCGCTAGCACAAACCGCAGGACACAGCTGAGCATGGCGAGGACATGCAGTACCAGCAGGAGACTGCGCAACAGCGCGGTGTCTACAGCTCAGCGGGTGGAGGTGACGAGCAACCTCACGGCACAAAGTGTGATGGCTTGGACAAAGGGACAAATTCTTCCAAAGGCGCAAATGACCAGACCTGGCACAAAAAGATAGAGTCCGAAAAGCACCTCATCTGGGAGCTAGCAACTGGTATAATGGCTATGTTGCTGGGCTCCTCTGAGGCCAACCATGGTTCGAGTCCCAGACCTGGCGGCTTAAAACTCACGCCGGGCGCGCGTGCATGCTTGCCCAAAATCCCCAGAGGAGAATGGAGGAGAAAAGATTGTGGTGTGGCCACCCCCCGGGGGTGATTTCTCGCTTCCTGTCACTTTCTCTCTGCCTCTCCAGCGAGTGTACACACCCTAGAGCAAAAATTCCTCATTAAGAAAAAAAAAATGGGGCCAGCAGGTAGTGTGGTGGTTAAGGGCGCTGGACTCACACGTGACTGACTGTGGTTCGAGTCCTGGACCTGGCGGCTTGCTTTCTCACCTACCCACCCCTCCAACTATTACTTTGTCCCTCTCTGGTCAAATTAAAAGGAAGGAAGGAAGGAAAGAAGGAAGGAAGGAAGGAAGGAAATAATTTCTTAAGAACAAAGAAAGAAAGGAAAAAAAGCACGGTCTCTCATCTGTTGAAGAACTGGGCTCGGGAGTCGGCAGGCGATGTGGGTGGGGCTGGACTCCCCCAGGGCTGGCCGTGGTCTGAGTCCCAGACCTGGTGCGGCTCTCTCACGTTCCCTTCCTCTGATGAGCGCACATGCCCTCCAGCAAGTTCACAACGAAGACAGACACCGGACTCAGGGAGCCGGCAGGTGGCATGGTGGTCAAGCCACTGGACTCCCACCCGGTAGGTCATGGTTCAAGTCCCAAACTTGACGGCTTTTCTCTCTCCCCCTCTGATCAAGGTAAAATAGCAACAGACCACGGGGTGGGGTTACGGTCATATTGCTCGGCTCCATGCAGTCAGACTCCCACGTGGTCGACTGTGGTTGGAGTCCTGGACCCGGTGGCTTAAACTCATGCCAGGCTCGCGTGCATGCGTGCCCGAGGTCCTGAGAGGAGGACGGAGGAGGGGCAGCAGTGATCTCTCACTGTCTCTCTGGCAAGCTCGCATGTCCTCTAGAAAGAAACCTCTCCAAAAAAAAGGAAAAACACATCTCACACTGGACACGTATGTGTGCACACACATGCCCAAAATCCCAAGAGGAGAATGAAGTCGGGGCTGCGGCACAGCCACCCCCCTGCAGGGCTGATCTCTCACTTCCTGTCTCTGTCTCTCCAGTGAGTGAGCACACATCATGGCAAAAATCTTCCTAAAAAAATAATAATTACGATAACAAATAAAATTAATTTGGGGGCACCAGCAAGTTAGCGTAATACCTATGTCTCTGGACTCCCACATAGTCGACCGCGGTTCGCGTCCTGGCGGCCCCAGGCTTAAACTCATACCAGGAGCGTGTGCGTGTGTGCCCAGGATCCCGAGAGGAGAATGGAGGAGAAGGGATTGCGGCGTGACCATCCCCCCTGGGGGGTGATTTCTCGCTTTCTGCCTCTCTGTCTGTCTCTGTCTTTCTGGCGAGCGCACGCGCCCTATAGCAAAAACGTCTCAAAAAAAAGAAAACCATTAACTTGGGGGAGAATGAAGGCACCGGGTTCCGGGTTGGAGCCTTCTGGCAGGTTCAGCAGGCGGAATGGTGGTTAAGGGCACACGTGCCCTGTAACAGATAAAAAGAACTGTTTCGTTTTACTCCACTTATTTATTTTTAATTTTACCAAAGAGCAACAATAAGAGAGAGAAGGAGGGAGGGAAAGCGAGAAAGCAAGTTACCAGGTCTGGGATTCGAACCGTGGTCAGCCATGTGGGAGTCCAGCACCCTTAACCACCATGCCACCTGCCCGCCTGGGACCACATGAACTTTATGTAAGCTCGGAACAGAGAAGGGACACTTCCCGCCCACCTTATGAGGCCACCGTAACCCTGACACCACAACCCAACAGACGCACTGAGAAGGGGAACTCACACGCAAATGTCCCTCCAAATGAGGTGCAATGCCTAGTGACTACGCAGCCGGATCCCCCAGGGCTGCCTCCACGGTTCGAGCCGCAGACCCGGCTTGAGAAGCGCGCGGCCCCGTGGGCATGTGTACTAAGTCCTGACGGTGGGGTGCTGCCCCCTCCCCGTCCGCTCTGTCCCGGCACGCAGGTGTCCTGGCCAAGTTAGGAGAGAAACCCTTCAAACAAGCCAGCCAGCCCAGGCACAGGGGTGCAAGCCGGGGGTGGGCCGGGCGGCTGCAGAGGCAGGCGGGTCTGGACCCAGGCCCTCCCGGCGTGGCTGTGGCTCTGCCCACTGACACGCCGTGGCCCAGGGCCTGCCCTGCATGAGCCGGCTCAAAGAGAATCGGATTTGCAAACATCCTGGCCCCTGGGGTCTGTCCCAGCCACTGGGAGGGCCAGGCGTGGTTGGGGACATGAGGAGGTGACTCCGCTTGCACATGGGGGGATGTGGCTCCCAGGGTCTCCCCTAAAGGAGTGGGAGAGAAGCCTCCCAGCGGCTGGGATGGACAGGCACCGGGAGAGCGCAGCCCTGACACACGGGGAACGGGCACCCCGAAAGATCAGCAGGCGGCGGAGTGGTGACACTGACGCGCATGGCTGACAGCGGTGGATGAGCCCTGGTCCCCGTAGGCTGACTCACACCTGCATGAGCAGGTGTGCCGGGATGCCGGGAGGAGCGTGGGGAGAGGGCAGTGCTCTCACCTCCCCCCTGTCCCCAGCAAGCACACGCACACACCGCCAGCACGTCAGGCAAGAGCCCACGCCCCGACAGGATGCGGGTGGAGGGGCAGGGGCTGTGGTGACCACGCCCACGGGGGCCACCGCCAGCTCCTGGGCCGCGCGTACACCCTTTGGCAGTTAGAAAACAACCCTGGCCACACCACATGGCGGAGCACGGTTCAAGCCCTGGACCTGGGCTACTGCGTACACACCACGTGAGGCATCTGCCGGCCCACTGCATGGTGCCGGAGCCGCACGGCGGCCTGGGGTCATACCCATGGCGAGTGGGGCAAGGCGAGCTGGCTGTGACCCGGGTGGCTGGGGCAGGAGCAGAGCATGGTGAGACCCCGTCCAGGTACCCAGCGCTCCCTCCCTCTCCCCTAGGAGAATAATCAACTTGAAAACAAAACTGAACGGGGCCAGCAGGGTGTGGTGGTTAAGGTGCTGGACTCCCACACGGCTGACTGCGGTTCAAGCCCTGGACCTGGCAGCTTGCTTTCTCACCCTCCCTCTCCTCTCCTCTGTCTCTGTCTCTCTGGTGAGTAAATGTGTCCTATAGCAAATTTAATAATAATAAGCAGTATTAAGTAAGTAATTCTTTAAAAAAGAGAACCAAAACTGAAGAAAAGCAGCTCAGGCGCCTGGCCCCGCGAGTCCCGAGCACAGTCCGGCACCTCCGTGGCCCCAGAGCACAGGGCAGTGCCAGCTGCCTGCTTGTTTGCTGAGGCCCAGCTGGTCTCCGGTGACCGCGGCCAGCCGGGCCCTGGTCAGCCCCAGAGGAGACGGGCTCATTGGGGG